TATTTTTTCCTACAGAAACCCTTCACTTGCTTTCAGAAGTGATGATCAAATGTGAACTTTCATGGTTTATTTATAGCTCTGCCTTATAGAGAGAAAGAAAAGAAGTGATTAAAATGCTATTTTACAAAATATTTTGTTTTTAAAAAGCTTTCATTGTGTGGGCAAAAGGAAAAAGAAAAGTCACTGTATTCATTGTGCTGTCTAGACTCTCAAACAAAGAGGGTAGCGTGCTGCAAATTAAGATTGTCCGGCTCCTGCCTGCTGACAAAAAGTATGAATTTGGAGGCCAACTTCAAATAAACCCTTTGGAACAGAAATATATTGTGGGGGTGACTATATTTAGCATGTGTCAGCATTTCCATAATAAATTCGTATTGTTATGTTGTGGTAAATTCAGATTTACTGCAGCCAAGTGGGATCATGAGATTTCAGTTTTGTGTTAATTATTTGGAGAAATTGGAAAACTCAGCAGTGCTATTTCTGATGAGAGCACTGATTCTCAGGGTATTCTCCAGATTGTGTTAGGAACCCATCATAAGCCCTGCCTTTCAGGAAAGGGGAAGGTGAACCCAAGTCATTTTGACTGCCTTTGTAAGCATAACTTTAAATATATACATATATACACATATATGGCATTACATGTTTTCCCTACAAATACAAAATTAATATATGCCACCATAGAAAATTTGGAAAATACAATAAGCAACTTGATAAGAAAAAAAAATTGTTACCCATGCTATCCAACCTGATAACATTTTAATATGTACTGATCCAATCTTTATTATGCATATATAACTTGTTTTTAAGAAGTTGTGTAGAGCAAACAAAAAATTATGTAGCACAAACACGATTATTGAGATAGAATAAAAAATTATGTCTTTATTTTCTATTCTCATTATCCCTTTACATTTGTGCAGTAGAGCTAGTTTTTCCCTGCCCTGGTTAAAAATTCTGGTGGTTCCATTACTTTTTTAGATAAATGTAAAGTCACTTAGATAATATAACCTTTATGGTCCCTTTAAGTTGTGAGATGTAGCCAAAATTCAGAAATTCAAGTATCAAAGAATATGTAAAGGTAAAGGTAAGACGTTTTCCAGTTCTTCCAGCTGGGGTCTGCCAAAAATGAGATGTAGCCCTAATCAGATTCTGCTTTCTTCCTCATTCACTTTCTCTCCAACATACTAGCTTTTTTCTTGTTCCTCTGAAATGGTTAGAAAGTATAAAGGAAGAAAAGTTAGGAGTATAGGAAAGTTCTTATCCGATCAGTACTGTCATAATGGGCTTTATGCTCTCTTAGCCTTATAGGTGTTTACAGCTAGCTCTGATTCTCATAAGGCACATCATAGATTTTTGGGGAGACCCTCTGCCTCTGAAAACCTCTTACCTGAAATATTCTTGTCTTAGTTAATGCCTCTCTATTCTCATAAATTGCTTACTCTTAATTCCTCAGGAATCCTTAGCCTTTTTTTTTTTTTTTTTTGTTTTTTTTTTTTTTTTGAGATAGAGTCTTGCTCTGTCTCCCAGGCTAGAGTGCTGGAGTGCAGTGGTGCAGTCTTGACTCACTGCAACCTCTGCCTCCCAGGTTCAAGCAATTCTTGTGCCTCAGCCTCCCCAGTAGCTGGGACCACAGGCACATGCCACCATACTTGGCTAATTTTGTATTTTTGGAGAGATGGGGTTTCACCATGTTGGCCAGGCTGGTCTCAAACTCCACACCTCAAGTGATGTACCCGCCTTGGCCTCCCAAAGTGCCAGCATTAAACGCATGAACCATTGCGCCCAGCCCAACCTCATGCTTCTTTGTGGAGACTCCTCAACCTCGTTAGGCGGCCATGTTGAACAGGATCTAAGAACCCCTGGCATCTCTCTCACACATGGGCCACTTGGGGTCTATGGGAAACCTTTGTCTTTGGGATCTGAACAGACTCTAGCAGTGCTGGTTGATCCCAGGGTAACCTCTACTTCACTTTTACACTGCAGCTGCCAGCCAGCCTGTCTCTTCCAGACAGGAGTCACTCACAAGCCACCATTGTGCCACAACCTCAGGAACATGCAGCAGATTCTCTGCTGGTCTGTGTCCTCTTGACTCCTGAAGGGAGAGGATTCCTTCATACTTCACCCTGGAAGGAGGCCTGATGTGCAATAAACCGACAGCTCTTTCCTAAAAATCCATCTCTGTCTGAACTTCCACGTGGATGAAAGGTTTAAGAGTTGATTAATGGGTCCTCAGGCACCATTCTTGCACATTCTTCAGGGTGGTCTGTTTCCAGTTTGCTTTGGTATCTCATATCTGTCATCTTTAGATCTCAGCCAAAACTTCCATTTTAACATTCTGTCACGTGTATTATCCTTAAGTTCATTCATTCCATAGACATTCCCTGAGTGCATACGATATGCCAGATGCCGAGTTTGGCAGTGAAAATAATTATAACAATTCCAGCTTTAAGGAGCTCACAGTCTAGTTGGGGAGGCTGATCTGTTAACAAAAAAATATGGTGCCATGTCATAAACGCTATGATAGACGGAAGCACAAGTTGCTGTTGGAGCACATAACTCAATATAGGTGGGAGGCAGGCAGCGGGGATGAGTCAGAAAAAAATCTCAGCAGAGCTGATACCTGAGCTAAGTTTAACATTTAAATCTGTACTTTTTGAGAAACAGCATAACGTCTTTTTAAACCATTGAAATCTCTTTTGCTGATGTTTGCTTCTCAATTTATTTTTAAAACAAGCAAAGGTAATGTGGAGAAAGGAAGGAAGAATTCCCTGATGTCTGCCATTTGTGTGCACATCTGTTGCAGTGGGAAGGAAAATAACATTTATGGAGTACCTTCTATAATAGAAGTTTCCTGGATCCCACCCATGAAGGCGATCCTGGAATGTTGTCTCAAGTGTGGGGCCAAAGCACAGCCAGGAGGAGCATTCCCTGAGGGCAGTTTGAAGATTCAGAGCTGGTAATAGAAGGCGAGGTCCTCCCTAAAGCACAGCAGAGCACAACTCAAGGAAGAGACGAGGACAAAATAAGAATGAGTGACACAGCTGATGATGGGGATTGCTGAGATGATCTCAACAATACCCAAGCTTGCTCTAAGGGAATCAGGACTTCGTCTATGAAGGAAAATGTTCTGAGGCAAGCAGAGCTCTTAACATACCTCTGCTAAGTGGGATGGCAGCAGCTTCACTAAGATGTGTTTGACCATCTGGCCCTTCACAACATGACTCCAATAAGCCCTTTTAGTCTTTGTCTTTCTCCATGGTTTCCTTGTCAATAATTTTTCATTTAAAAAAATCTCCTGCCTACTTAAGACTGCCATTTCTTTCTGCTGTCAGTGTGCTGGCTACTCTTAGCATCTCTGATCTCCCAATCAGCACATTGAAATCCATGGAGAGCTAGGAAGCTAGATGACTAGTTCAGAATGTACATGCTATCCTCGTGGAAGAGTCCATAGAGCAACCTGGCAGGAGTGGAAATTCGTGTAAGCCAGCAGATGAAAGAACCATCAGGTTACCTAACCCTTGAATAACTATTGAAAGAAGTTTATCCGCTTCTAGCGTAGTATTTATCACACTCTATTTTGATCACATTAAATGTCTTTTCCAGTCTATGGTGAGCTTTTTGATGAAAGGCCCATACAATCTTTCTCTGTATTCCATGTAGATTGAGTGTTATGCTTGGCACATGAAAGGGAGGCAATGTGTTTTATGAATATTCCAGGTGTCGAGATTCAGTAGTAAACAGACAAGTCCTTGCCCTGTGCAGCTGACATTCTGGTTAGGGCAAGGAGTGAAGGAGGCAGACAATGAACACATAAACCAGAAAACATACAAAGTGGCAGAAGGAAATTAGTGGCATGCAAATCGGTCAATCAGTCACAGTAAGGTGGCAAAGATGGTCGGGGGAACACTTGGAAATGCTTTGAAGATACCCAGGGGCTCTCATATTCTGTATGGTATTCAGCTTTTTTTTTTTTTTTACATTTTTTCCTCCCTTACTAGTATGCGAGTTTCTCCAGGATAAAGAGTATGTTGTATGCAAATCTGTATCCCTAGCAGAGTGTCTGGTACATAGTAAGTGATTAACAAATGTGTAGAGTAAGAAGTTGTATACATGTGATCCCAGAATGACTGCATCCTTAGCAATAGGAATTCAATAGCCATTCCTGAGACTGAGCATATGCTGTAGAGCTTTGTCATACTGTTGCTTGCCATCTTCCCTAGCCAGGTCTGTTGGACTCCAAAGTTTGCTTTCTCATGGCCTTAACAGCCTAAGAGACTCCTTAAAAAAAACCTTACTCTTCTGCTCATATGGGAGCCAACACAATCCATGGTTAATCTTGATGCTGCACACACCATACCATGTCCACCCAGATGCTGTAACATGTCATCTGCCTGAGTGCCCCATTGTAAAGAAAAGAATATCCTGAAGTCACATTCCAGAACTCAAGTCACTTAGACTCAGCCCAGAGGTCTCAGTAGGTACTCACAACTTCAGAGATTGCTGGAAAAAGAGCTGAAGTTGAATTGAAGAGGTCTTAAATATTTTATCCTCAAGTACAGGTGCAACGTGACTTCCATTCAGTGATTGCTATCTTTAGGTAAGTAGACGATGTACTCAGTGGCTAGTTATGTTCCATTCTTCTGCCCTGTGTCCAGGTAGTGAGGAGGGGAAATAATTCTTCCCACTCACCCCTGGAGGCAGTCACAGAACTGCTTTGCCTTCTGGGTTGTTTATGCCCCAGAGGCCCCAATATACAAGTATCTATTAAGTGCAGGATGTGTGTGTGGTCATAGTTGAAACTTTAAATGTTCACTGTGTTTTATTCTTATTTTTGTGTTTTATTCTTATTACTAGAGAAGAATAAGTTAAAAAAAAAAAAAAAAGAGGACTAACCAAATATCTTAAAGGGAAGCAAATTCTAATTAGAATGTTTTGCCTGTGACAAGCCTCACTTTGGATTTCGCTTTCCAACTCAGCTGTCTGTGTTGTTTTCCATTTAACAGGAAGCAATGGCAAAAATGAGCAAAGTTGGGAAAGTTGTGTTCCCGAGACTACAGGATAAAAAGTAAGTGTGTATTTTTTATATGTACAGTGCTAAGGAATTGAGCACATACACACACACATGCAACTATAGATCTGGAATAAACTCAGGTGGTCAACTAATCCAGTCCTTTCATTTAGTGGTTAAGAGAACTAAGTTCCAGGGAGGTAATGTCACCTTCACTTATCTAAGATTGCAGAACTATGTAGGGCCAGAGCTGGGGGTCAGATGTAAGCTTCTGAACTCTCAGACCAATGTTCTTTTTCCTAGGTAATTGGCAGCAAATCTGCTCTTCTCTGTTCTAAAGTAGGGATCTCTTATATCTGCATCAAAGGACCCAGTAGCATCTGCCCATTCTTTTACTCTTTGTATCACTTGGCATCAAAATCTAAAAAATGATGTTGGTCAGTATTTTAATCCCAATTCAACAAAATATTAATTTATTTCATTCCTGCTATATTCAAGGCATTATGCTGGGCTCCAGGCAGGTGTTACAGGGGAATAAAACACAATCCGATTTAGGCACATAGATTATTTTAGAACAACGGGATAAGTTCCACAATTGAAGTATTGCCAGGTGACAAAGTTGCCCAAGGAAGAAAGGGATGGGAGCCTGTAGAGATGAGAGAATGCTTTTGGAAGGAGGTTATGTGCAAGCTAACTTTAAGCACTGTAAGAAATTGGTAGACAGGCCAAGGCAGGAAAGAATATTCATAGTAGAAGAAATAACGTGTACAGTTATAAAGGTGGGAGCAGCATAGTACATTCAGGTTACTATAAACAACTCATAATCCAGAAACACAAAGTATGAGATGGGGAATGGCAGGAAATGGGACCGGGGAAGGATAGAATTGGGTGGGGGGAGGTCAGCTCATAAATACCTTGGAGGCCATGCCGAAGACCTCTAACCTCACCCTATAGGCAGAACAGAGATGCTGAATTCTAAGCAGAGGTGAGACCTGGTCGATGCAGATCAGAAAGATCCCTCTTAAAGGATCCAGTACAGGGGGCTCAGGGTAGAAATAGAGGGTTCAAATAAAAGGCTTTTTCAAGAATCCAGGCTAGAGATGTAAAAGACCTCTATTAATTTGCTGGTGGTGATTTTGAAGATGAAGGGGTTGTTGTGGAAGTGCTTTTATAATTTTAGGAAAGTATTCAAGTTTAAGACCTAAAAACAAATTCCACTTAACATGATGAACAGGCAAAGGTGCAGATCCCACTGAAGTAGGGTCAGTGTTTAACAGAACTGGAAATGTTCATAGAAAAGCAATCCACTTTCTTTTCATTTCCCTTGTCTCCACATAGATTCAGGCTGCTAATCCTCCGAATATAAACCCTTCTCTAAATGCCAGGGTGGAAGGTGCAGGCCTTGCATAAGGGAGCTCCATGCAGGAAGCTAGAGAGATCTGAGTTCCCATTGGCAGTAGGAGCTATGCTGTCCCTATTTCTGTTCCCTAGAGGCAGCTGGAGCATCCCTCTTTTTGTGAAATTAGAAAGATTGTCTTTCTCCATCTCTTCCCTGACCCTCCCAAGACTTGTTAGGGAAGTTTTTAAGTTCTTTCCCTAAACCCCACGTGTTTCTTTAGAAGAGAGTCCTTGGCTGCTTGCTGGGAGCTGGCAGCTGGCCGCTGGTCTCCTTGAAGGAGGCAGCACACATGGTGCTTTAGCACCATCTGCAGGCAAATCAGAGATTTGCAAGGAGACAGGAGAAGCCAGTTTCCTTCTGAGCCAACCTCGCCTCATTGCCTAATAGATCACACTGTTAACGATGTGGGACGACATTTACTTAGGCCTCTGCCACACAGAAGCAAGGGACTGAGTTGAGGCACATTTTGAAGAGAGGGGATTCAGCTGATTTGAAAATTCACAATCACGGAGAGCACAATTTAGTGACTATAGTTGAATGAGTAAATGTTTAGGATGACCCCAAATCTCATTATTTTGCCCAGTCCAAATTTATATGTGGCCCTGGAAGAGTCCCTTGAAAGTGCTTTGAAAACCATTTGGTGCATTGAAAGACACTATCAACAAAGTAAAAAGGCAACTCACAGAATGGGAGAAAACATTTGCTTATCATACATCCAATAAGGGATTGATATCCAGAATATATAAATGTATAAAGAACTCCTAAAACTCAACAACAACAAAAAAGCAAAAACAACCCAGTTCAAAAATGGGCAAAGGAAGCCAGGCGCGGTGGCTCAAGCCTGTAATCCCAGCACTTTGGGAGGTCAAGACGGGCGGATCACGAGGTCAGGAGATCGAGACCATCCTGGGTAACCCAGTGAAACCCCATCTCTACTAAAAAATACAAAAACTAGCCAGGCGAGTTGGCGGGCGCCTGTAGTCCCAGCTACTCGGGAGGCTGAGGCAGGGGAATGGCGTAAACCCGGGAGGCGGAGCTTGCAGTGAGCTGAGATCCGGCCACTGCACTCCAGCCTGGGCGACAGAGCGAGACTCCATCTCAAAAAAAAAAAAAAAAAAAATTGGGCAAAGGACTTGAATGGATATTTCTCCAAAGTAGATTTATGAATGACCAATAAGCACGTGATAGGGTATTCAACATCACTATTAGGAAAATCAAAACTACAGTGAGATACCACCTCACACCCAATAGGATGCTACTATTTTAAAACAGAGAACAACAAATGTTGGCAAGGACATGGAGAAATTGGAGCCCCTGTGTATAGTTGGCGAGAATGCAAAGTAGTATTGCTGCTGCAGAAAACAGTATGGCCATTCTTCAAGAAATTAAAAGTAGAATTAACATGTGATTCAGGAATTGTATTCCTGAGTATATACCCAAAAGAACTGAAAGTAGGGTATGGAAGAGATATTTCTACATTCATGTTCACAACAACATTATTCATGATAGCTGAAACCGTGAGAGCAACCTAAGTGTTCATTTGTAGATGAACATATAAACAAAGAATGATATGTTCATACAATGAAATATTATTCAGCCTTAGAAAGAAGCAATTTCTGACATGCCACACATCAGTGAACCTTGAGGATATTATTCTAAGTGAAATAAGATAACCACAAAAAGACGAATACTGCATGATTCCACCTATGTAAAGAATAAGGCCAGTGCACAAAGTTAAGGCAAAGTTGTCAGTATTAACATTGTAAATCTTCAAGTGTGTGTGAAGGGGTGCTCCCCTTAGCTCCCTTCTAGCAATTTTGAGATTCTAAAGTCAAGAAATCCATCTCATGTAAGTGAAAGAATTGCTTACCATTATATTGTCCCAGAGCATCATGAGTAGGAGCAAATTGTTCCTAAAATAATTCAACGACTAATAAATTTGGATGGTCATAGAGTAGGGTTTAGTAGTACCTACATATAGCTATATTGATGATAATATTAAAATATTAATTATCTAAAAATTAGTAACTAGCACTTATATCACTTATTATGAGTCAGGTACCGTTCTAAATGCTTTTCATGTATTTCCACATTTAATTCACACAACAGCTCTGCTGAAGTAGATCCCATAATTATCCCCATTTACAGATGGAGAAATTTCGGCAGAAATAGTGTAAGTAACATATCCAAAGTCACACAGCTAATATTGGGCCACATTAAGATTCCAACCCAGGCTTCGGAGTTCACCTTTTAACCCTGTGCTTGGCCCCATCACAACTCCTACGTTACCAGAATGCTTACAGTATAATAAATACCAGGTAGGTGACTCCTACGAACATAGCTATGTGTGACTAGTAGAAGTCCCTCTGTGTATCCAAGGTTACTCTTACAACCTCTCTCCCCCAATGCACAACTTTGCACCAAAATTTCATCATGAGGACTCCTTTTCAGAGCACCCCAGAATAAACCAAGACGTGCTAAACTGGCTTCTTCATCCCCTCACCCCATGTCAGTTTCCCAACCAAGAGGAGTAAGGACAAAGTTGCAAGGCTGCAAGTATAATTTGTCTCGGTTCCTATTATTCCTTTCGGGATTATGATGCCAGAGCACCTTCAGCTGTTCTGCTATCTGATTCATGGCAATACCAGTTCTAACAGGTCTAACCCAAAGAGTCAGACAGATAGGACAGGGAGAGCGAGGGCCATTGTGAGATGCCTGGAAGGCGAGCACAGCTCTAGAAAAGGCATGAGTCACCTTTCCATGGAGTTTTGCTCCTGGATAAAGCAGTTCGCAAGGGAAACTTAGATGTGGAATCTGCAAAAGGGCAATTAAAATGTTCAGTCTCGTCTTTGGTCAGGCTGTGATTTTAGGCCAGTCATCAAACCTGGGGCTAGTTATATAGGAAATATTTATTGAAGCTGGCAATGTGAAAGGGTCTCCATTAAGTTCGGGCTTTTTTGTATATACAGCAGAAGCTTTGAAGTCAGACAGACATGAGTTTCAATTCCAGCTCTGCCAATTTTTATCTATACTATTTTGTATATGCCTCTCATTTAGAATTTTTTTTTTTTTTTTTTTATGGAGGAGTCTCACTCTTTCGCCCAGGCTGGAGTGAAGTGGTGTGATCTCGGTTCACTGCAACCTCCGCCCGCCCCGGGTTCAAGCGATTCTCCTGCCTCAGCCTCCTGAGTAGCTGGGATTATAGGCATCCACCACCATGCCTGGCTAATTTTTATATTTTTAATAGAGATGGGGTTTAAATGTTCTTATTTCTAAAATGGAGATAATAAAACTTCATGCAGGTCACATATAATAGGTCTGACACATGCTAATTCATTGCCCAGGATGCTGTAAGCATTCAAAATCTAGGTGTCAGCATCACCACCACAGATATATTCTCATTCTTCTAAATGTACAGGGAAGCCCCATGGCAGTTTTGTCTTGAGATCATTCAACATATTTATGTTTCTCCCACAGATACTATGATAAGAAATACCAAGTATTCCTGAAGCTGGTTGAACACCAGAAGGAGTATTTGGCGATCATGAATGACAACTGAACAGGGCTTGCAGGTGCTGATGCCAGAAGCTTCTGTGCCATTGCATTAAAGACCTCTGTCATTTCATCCATGTTCAAGACCCTTGAGGTATTGTTTCATCATTTCTGTATTGTCTTTTAATAAAGAAAACAAACATGTGCAACCAGAATTAGAGTCTTCATTTCATACCACTATTATTTAGTTTCAGTTTCCATACAGTTTCCATCACAGTAACAGAAGTTTCACCTAGAGTCATAGGATCTCACATGAGACTAGATCTTGGGGGCCGTTCAGTCCAGGGGAGGCCTGTACTTTTTAATCAGTTAAATGTCAGCTATTAAATGAAAACCTTACATTACTTTAAGTAGGACATCTAATGCATGGTCGATGTCTTTTATGGTATTTTCCCCTCCTGTGCAGGATCTAGTCTAGGGTTAGATACCACATTTATTTCCAGAATTGTCATTTTGCAATCATCATATTAAAGACAGGTATAGGCAGGAATCATCAATGGATCCAGGAGGGAATTTTGAAGAGTAACAGGATATATGCATCATCTTAAAATGTCTCTTCAGCATTTGCTTATTAGTTACCAGAGGAAAAAGAATGTTAAGTATACAGGGAAGAAATAGGACAACGTCTTGATTAGGTGATCCAAATCAACTTCAGATGGGCAAATGGACATTGTGTGCCTCCAAATATGAGAAAAGAAACAGCATTTTAATGCAGAGCCTGAATCTAATCAGAAGGAAACATCAGACAAACCCAACAGGGGAAGCATTTTATTTTTTAATGGACTATATTTTTCAAAAATGTCTATGTCATGCTGACAAAGAAAGGCTGTGGAAAGTTTTCAGATTAAAGGGAACTGAAGAAACATGATGGCTAAAAGCTTTTGATGTAGACAAGCACTGGAAAAACTAGCTGTTTTAGTTGATACCACAGCAAACACACAAACACACACAGACATACACATACATACGTATGTCAACACCCACACACAAGTTCAGACCAAAGAGTAACTGCTAACATTGATTTGAGAGCTGCCATAGCTCAAATGAGTGTGGGTAGAGGACATGCTAAGACTTCAGCAAAAGACAGCAGGTAGAGAAGAAAAAGCCAATATAATTCAGTAAACAAACATCCTCTGGAGTACCTTGTGCCACATGTTGTGGTAAGCACTGGTCTACAGGAATAAATAAGACATGGTTCCTGCCTTCAGGAAGCTCCCTATTTAAGGAGAGACATAGACAAATAAACTGGTGACACAGTACACTGTGAGAAATGCTACCATGAAAAAAAAGTACCTGCTGCATGCGGCACATCAATCAGAAAAGGAGGAAGGGGAAGGGTGACAGATGGGATGAAAAACAATGTGGTATAACAGCTATGAGCCCTGGCCTGGGATCCTAGGCCTGGTCTTACCTCTTATTAGATGTGTGACTTGGAGAAAGGTCCTTAATCTTCCTAAGTCTCAGTTTCCTCATTTTGAAATGAATCAGGCTGGGTGTGGTGGCTCACGCCTGTAATCCCAGCACTTCGGGAGGCTGAGGTGGGCGGATCACGAGGTCAGAAGATCGAGACCACGATGAAACCTCGTCTCTACTAAAAATACAAAAAATTAGCCCGGCGTGGTGGCGGGCACCTGTAGTCCCAGCTACTCAGGAGGCTGAGGCAGGAGAATAGTGTGAACCCGGGAGGCGGAGGTTACAGTGGGCCAAGATCGCGCCACTGCACTCCAGCCTGGGTGACAGAGCAAGACTCCGTCTCAAAAAAAAAAAAAAAAGAAAGAAAGAAATGAATAGGTATCGAGTATGAATATGTTTTTTCGTTTTTTTGTTTTTTGTTTTTGAGATGGAGTCTCGCTCTGTCGCCCAGGCTGGAGTGCAGTGGGGCAATCTCTGCTTACTGCAATCTCCACCTCCCAGGTTCATGCCATTCTCCTGCCTCAGCTTCCCAAGTAGCTGGGACTACAGGCGTCCGCCACCATGCCCGGCTACTTTTTTGTATTTTTAGTAGAGACAAGGTTTCACCATGTTAGCCAGGATGTTCTCGATATCCTGACCTTGTGACCCGCCCACCTCGGCCTCCCAAAGTGCTGGAATTACAGGTGTGAACCACCACACCCAGCCTGAATATGTAATAGTACCTACTTTACAGGATTATAATGAAGACTAAAGGAGATAATATATACAAAGCACTCAGCTCAATTTCATGGTCAATGCCTGTGTTGTAACAGGGCTCTGCTCCTGAAAGATGCTCAGAATAATAACAGTAGTAAGCATGGAGAAGAGTGAGCACCCCAGTTATGAAGGTCAGCTCTGCAATAGCATGCTACAGTATCCAAAGGATATAGGGACCTTAGGCATAGCCCCTAGTGAAGGTGGGTGTGCGTGTGTGATCTAGCTGACCTAAGGGCAGAAGGAAGCCCAGTGCATTTATAGACCCCAGCCAGAGGTTGCACTAGAGATAAAGGAGGATTGGGGATCACTACAGAAGAGGAGTCAGGTATTGCAGGATCTAAGCAAGATGTCAGGTCTACAGTCAAACAGGCTTCAGCTGCAAAAGCTGATTATCACTGACCGAGAAACCGGCAGGCCTGGACCTGCTCACACGAAGCCCTGGTGGATGCAGTGGTTGTCTGTGGGTGCAAAAGGCAGACATAAAAGCATGAATAATTGCCAACTATCTGCCAAGTCCTTGTCATATGTCCTCTCCAATCCTCCTACAGCAATGTGAGGTAGGCAGCATTACCCCCACCTTATAGTTGAGAAAGTTGAGTTTCAGAAAAGATAGCTTGCCCAGAGTCACCAGACGGTAGCAGAGGTAAGATTCAAATCCAGATCTGCCTGGGTGCAAAACTTTAGGTATCAACCCATTGTAACAGCTGGAGAGGAATCCTGCCCTCCACCTGCTCTTTAGTTGCAGTGCTCATGTTGTTGGTTGCCAAGCCCTGGGTGCTGGCCATTCTTTCAAGCAAACTCATATCCAAACCAAACCTGACCTGAGTTCTCACTGCTTTAGAGAGAAAGGAAAACACACACAAATGAGGCAAAAAACATGGCAACACTAGGACACCTTTGGCATCTCAACAGTGAGGAGCAGCTTGATAGAAAGGAGAAGGGCTGAAAGACCTTGGGCAAGATAGCTAACCTGTCTAAGCCTCAGTCTTTCCCTTTGTGGTGGGATCATCCTGCTACCTATCTCCTAGGGTCGGTGGTAAGGATTCAGTGAAAGAACTGTGGATAAAGCCCTTAGCACAATGCTTTTCAGACAATAGGCACTCTACAAATATTGTTTCTCCATGGTTCTTTCTGTGCCTTCTAGCTAGGAGGTTAATCCCTAAGAAAATCGTTCTGGTTCCTACTATAAAGCCAGTGTGTTAGGAAAAATGTAAATGTCTATATATAATTCTATTAGAAACCACGTGTAGCTCAATAATAAAAATTTTAATCACTCCAGTACACACCTCCTTTCACTGAGAAAGGAGGTTTTGTTTAATACATGCATGTAAAATATAGTTAGCTTTGATGAATAAGAATTGCCATGTGGCCAGAGTGGTTTATGAGATTTTTGTTTTGTTGCCTACTGAAAGCTTTTCTTTCAAGTTAAAGCCAGACTTGCTTAGCAAGTCATTTTGCCAAGGAACACATTACAGGTTTTAAATTTTGACCAAAAATACTTCCCATATGTGAAGAACATAAATGTGGCTTTCAAAAGAGCCAAAGAGAACAAAAGCTGGGGGAAGTGAGGAAGAAAAGACAAGAATGACAGAATGGACTGGCGTGTTGCAGAGCTACAGTAAACTACAGGACCCGATACCACAGTGAGCTGGAGTCCCAGTGAGGCATCCGGAAGGGATGCCCTCTCTTTTGAAGATCAAGACTGGGCGTTTGATCTTCATATTCAGAGCATAATCTGTGTTGTTGCCAGTTGCGCTGGGGAGTGTAGGTTCCAAGAGGAGCAGTAAAAATATTGTAAGGCAACCCTGGAAACGCCCAGCTTTAAGAATGTACCAAATCAGCACGTGAGTTAACAAGCTAGAACGCTTAGGTTTTAGTATCAACATGATCTGCTATTTCTCCCAGGCCTGAGGATAATCAAGTTCTTTAGATTTACTTATCTGTTTTTTTATTTGTTGTTTGTTTGTTTGTTTTTCCCTCTGGCCACTGACCTGTGAGCTCTTGGAGGGCTCAGAATATCTTATAGCCTATTCTCTGCACCCAAACAGTTCTTGGCACATAATGGGTATTCCATAAATGAATAAATACACAAACACAAGATGTTTTTCTGCAAAAAAGAACACTGGTAGAACTAAAAAAGCTCACTTTCAGGTCAATCTTCTATATGTGTTAATATGTCTTAATTTAAGCAACTGTCAAACGCTTTAAAATGTGATTTGGTCACTGAGGATTTTTAAAAATCATGCCTTATACCTAATGACTTGGTTTTTTAGTTTTTTATTGCACATACACACACATACATGCATAACCACACAACTTCATTTTGGGCTGTAGCTCAAGCTGAGAACTTTTTGCAAATTTTCCCTGTTGTTACAGACTATTTCCTGTATGGGAAGCCAGAGGTGTTGTATCCAGAAACACCCATTGTTCACCAGGACTGCAGGACACATGCTTTCAGAATTCAAGGGCATAGTTATAAATAATTACCATCAAGAATTTCAAATGAAGGACATCGTTGCTAAACAAGAAACTAATGACTGAGTGGAGCTGTGTAATGTAATTATACTTAAGATGGGACTTCTGACGAATTACAGAAGAGTCTTTGTGCTGTCTCATGTCTCCATAAATACACTTAACTGCTATTGACAGTAATGGGAGGGAGTCTTGAATATGAAAAGCTTTTTTATCCTTTTATGATTTCTAGAGGGAGAACTTAAAAGAACAATTACGTTTTTAAAAAAGAAGTTTCTCCCAGTACTTCTGAATATTTGACAATCCTATAACATTTGTAAAACTAAAGTAACTTAAATAAAAGCAAAGACTTCTGCTAATAAATTCCAACTTCTCAGTTTAGCATTAACTTGCCCATTAATTTTGTGGTCAATTTTCATTATGCACAGAAAATCATTTAAAACTACGTATTAGCATAAATGTTTCTAAAGACCTAATTTTTATTTAAGTCCTGCCTTAAACCATGATTAGAAGT